CAGCCCCGTAGGCGGGTGGCCAGCAGCTGGCCTGACCCCGTGAAGCACCCATGGGGCCGCTGCTTAGCCCACGTCAGTTCAAGGCTGTAAGGATCCAGGGGCCGCTGGCTGACTGCTAATCTTGACTCTGACACAGAGGTGTGTGTCTGTTGGTGCCTCAGTTTCCCCATCTGGAACATGGCAGCGAGTGGGACCCTGCCCAAGGGGAAGCCACGAGGACTGTAATGCGCTTTGCCGGGGAAGGCAGCTCATGCTCATTCCCTGCTACCCCAAACGCTGCGCCCAGCCTGGCGGCCAGGGCCCAGCTAAAAGGGGAGGGGTTGACTTAGGAGGGGCAGAGCGAGCACCCAATCAAACGACAGAGAGTGGTTCCTCTGGACCCCGCCCCCCGGTGGGAAGAACGTGTTGGGCTCAGCTGGCTCCGGGTCAGGCCGGGCGGAGCTAGGCTGGGGGTGCTAAGGGATATTTTTGAGGTACCAGGGCATCCATGGAAGCAGAGGCAGATGGGAGCCAAGCAGGGAAAACAAGCCAAACAAGAGGGGGGTGGGGAACGCAGGGGAACCTCTCAGCCCTTCTGGTGCCAATAGGAAGCCAGGAGCGTCTTGCTCCCCTCTGCCCTTCCATGCCTTGCTAACGGAGCTGTCCTAACGGACAAGGCTAGCACTGTATTGCAGACACTGGGCTCCATGCGCTGCGGCGCCAGGCAAGGTTCCCTCTCATTTTTCCAGCCATGTGCGGAATCATTTTTTTATGTGCACTGAGACATGTGCCAACGTGCACCACCAGTAGAAACAAAACAACCCAGCTGGGGTACTCAGCCAAACACTCACAAAATTAACTCCCCTAAGGGCAGGGCTACACTTGGATGCAGTCAGCTGTCGTAGGGCAGCGAAGTGCAATCAACCCCACCTCACGGGAGGGGAAACTGAGGCACGAGTGAGCTGGGTGACTTCCCCGAGGCCACACAGAGCAGGGAACTAAACCCAGGTCTCCTAAGTCGCAGGCTAGTGCCGAACCACTGTGCTGGCCTTTCTTTCCATAATGCTGGTATTACAGGGGGAAACTGAGGCACAGAGCCTTGTCCTTCACTGCGCAGTGCGTCAGTTGCAAATCCAGTCACCTGACCCCTCTGCCTACCCCTCCTTCCTTGCCACGGGGACAGAGGCCTGCCCCTGCAGATGCCCTTCGCCCCGGGCAGCCCTGCTGCTGCAGCCCATGTCTTGGTCAATATGCCATGTCTGTGGGGGATGCAAGGCCAGTCTTGGTAGGCACGGACGTGCCCCCGAGCTCAGGGTCAGAGGCGGTTGTCTGGGTGTCCAAGCACTGCCCAGGTCTGCGTCCAGTCCCCCTCTTGCGACAGGGCCACGGCGCCAGCAGGCCCCCATCCTGCTCCTCGGGGCAGCGGGGGCTCCCTG